ATATTAAGCATTGATGTCAGCAACATCGGAAAAACGCACGTTTGAATGAAGAACATGAAAAGGTGTACGAAGGTATACATTCGCAAAGACTGACACAGGAATGAATGTTGTCATTCGTTCTGTAAAGATAGAATGCAGTTTAAAGCGGAAAAAGTGCAAAAGGTGCGAGATATATCTCTAAGAGATTTAATGCCCTTTGTACCCACCAGAGTGTTCAATTAATATCTTTTAACTCCTCTTCTAGATTGCGTTTATATGCTAGCGTGCGCTTGCAATTCAAATAGTCATCTTGTTTTTCTATCTTCAGATGGATCTCTTTTGCTCTTCCACTGCGAATTGTCTCGAATTATTCCAAAGAAAAAGAGAAAATGAGGGACATATCCCTTTTAGAATTACTTTGTGTACTGAATTTCCAATTCTATTGCTCTCATTTGATGTTTGAAAACATAAATCCCATTCACAGGCAAATCTTTTCTTCTTAAGTATAGAAAAGTCGAGTAAAAAATTGCGCTTTTAACGAAATTCTGATCCAGACAGCTACATGTTTTTTAAAAAATTAGTCCGACATTAGCGGCGCCGTAAAACGCGTACATTCCCCAAGTACAATTCGCAGATTTTACGACTTGGCAAGGGTTGGCAAGTAATTTTCTTTATGAATTTCGGCTTGTCTCTCAGGAGCCGAACTAATTAATAATCGCTCGTAATAAATGTCTATAATTAAAAACGCAATGATACACCGCGCCAACTAAATTATTACTGTATCAATTTTGGTGTGTATAATTTGATCCTCATCGAGAATCCCCCTAGATGACCGCTTGTTGTAAATTAGGGGGCGAACAACCGACAACCTTTTCCACGTCAGTCTTGCTCAATGTTCTCCATTAATTCACGTATCCTCGTCAATATACTAGTGTGATACAGAGAGAAGCATTAATGCGATACAGAAGTTTAAGCCTCATTGCTAATGGATGCATGGTCATCCCTGCATGTTACCCGAGCCGGATATTGGACTTCATTTCATCGACAAAAGGTGTTAGACCACCTTGATTTATTGAATGGTTTCATTTCATCGACCCGCTTACGGCTTCCTGTGCGAAAAACATCTACTATGCTTTGACTATTGTGCCGATATTGACGATTTCGAGGATACAGGAGGGGTTTCAAGTCAGCTAAAGTGCAACTTTCATTGTCTCTCATTGCGTGACTCACTTCTATCAATTATGTTCAACGAGACAATTTTTAAAATTTCCCTGTTTCGGGTTGTTGTTGCAAAAAGGTGCCACAAGTGATGAGTAGGTGTTAAAATATTTCACGATTTTTTCAAAAGATGGAAGCGAGTACATTTGGTTACAGCATAAATCCGTCTTACCGCATAAATTAAAATATAAATCATGTCGAACAGATTTTATTTACTGTCTCCATTTGGTTTTGTTGCGTGTGAGCGAACGGTTAAAGCGCACGTGCTCTTCTGTATATAAACCCAGCAGTATGTAATGTACACTGCTATCATTAAGTCAGTTCATTGAAACACCGAGACAGCCGCCACTCAATTTGAAAATGTACATGCGCTACTCAATTAATCCGCCTTGAAAATATTCGAGGAGTTCTGTTATGTTGCGCACAGAGACTGAAAAATAAAATTCGAAAAACACCACTCCACTCGACCTCCTTTTAACAAAGCTTTTAACCTGTTAACTTACATAATTATACTAACACCTCGTACAAAACACAATTGTTCGTTCTCATTCTCATAGCTGTATTGTCTTCCCAACTGAACTGACTTTTAGACAATGGCTCTAAGTCAATTTGTCGCTGATCAAATGCGATCCTGATGCCCCGAGAGATGCAGTAGCGGTTCGTGGTCAGCACAATCAAATGCTAATTCAGATAGAACAATGAAAAACTTAATTATTTCATTTAAATGTAAATTCCGTTAATTATGGAGCTTTTATTGCCCAATTTTGGTCTATAATAGTGCGCTGTCTTGACAACAATGCACTTCGTGTCGTGTTGCACCATGGGCGCCGACTTTCAAGGTTTTCAAACGATATGAACAAATTAAAATTTGAATAAAATATTTATAAAAGCTGAGGGAGACAGTCAGTCAAAGTCTAGTCCTATAAGTTGTAACCAATAGCCAAAACCTTCTACATGTTACTACATATTAGGGCTATGAAAACACCCAATTCCTCAACATAATATCACAGACAGAAATCTGCTTTTTGTTAATTAACAAAGTGAAATGAGATAATAATTGTGATTTTTGGTATAAAAGATTATTTTTGTATCAAAGTAGTTTATTTTTCAAAATTTACTGATCGATGGACAGTTGCGGTTGCGGTTTCGTATAACTGCTCTAATTCGACTTAGAGTGATTTCAACTTTGTCTTAATTATGCAGCGACATAAAGACCTCGACTGCCTTGTAATCTAATAATTATTTCGACAAGTCTAGGATCTAGGATATGTAATTTGTTGGATGACAAAGTGTTTGGCGCTCGTTTCGCTCTAGTAATATTGTGTTTTTTGATAAGGTCACCTACGAGTGAAGCCATTTCGAATCTTGATTGTGTTTGCTCATTTGTTGCCCGGTTGACGAGTCGTCAATGGAGATTTAACGTTTAGATAAGTTGAGACAAAAACCGGTGGAATTCCCATTTGGAAGCATAGCCGTTCGCGTAATGGACTGTCACCACTCCTGAGGACAACGAATGAAAATTAATACCTGCTTGTGATGTCAGGTCTTCACGATCCGATTTAATGTAGCAGTGAAGCAGTGGAAAGTGGAAGTCATAACAATAGTAAATCGATAATGAGGCAATTGATAATTTTCAAGCCAAAGGACGATAATCTCGAAACAAAAAACTTAACAATTAATTAAGATTCTTTTAGTCTCGTAGGAGTGTATTTTTTGTTAGTGTGGGAGAAAGTTTTTCATGTGTAAAAATGTTTTTCGGCTGCCAGGAAGAAGTTGGAAGTTATACCAGAGCCTTGTGTCTTAATTGGACATAGAAATGAGTAAACCTTAACATAAACTCGTATACAATCAAATTTTGAACAATATGCGCACAAACTTAATTTAATTTCTTGTGGTATATTGTAATTCCTACATAATAAAGTGAGGAACAAAGACTATTAATTATCAGAAAGAGAATGGTTTCATGAGCGTCAAATTTAACTTTCGACGTTTACTTTCAACATCATAGAAAAACACAATAAGGAGAGAATGAGAATGATATTTCTGACACTGACCGAGGAATTGATATCCTATTTCAGCCAAGTTTCGCAGAGTTCTAGAGTCGGTTTATCAGCGTATATTGTTACGTGTTGATTCGGTCACTCTCGGTATTTTATAAGTTGATACATTTGAAATGACGGCGAGACCGTTGAAAAAGCACCATCTTCCAAACCAAATACGATTTTTATTTCGGTTGAATACGTACAACGATGAGATCGCAACTCATTTATAAAACTGATAACGTTGACATGGGGAATCGATACAAATCACGATTTCGAAGACCCTGGACCCCTTCTTTACTTCACTTACTCTGGACAGCCAATTTTGAATTACTCGACCACAACAGGTGAAGCGTATTTTTAGAACCTTTTTATATTTCTACGCTCTAATATTGATATCATGCATGGTCAAACATCGTACTTTAATATCCCTGGGCATATCACGGCCATTTCCGCCCGCTAACTCGTTTCAAAAATAATTTTCAAATATCATAGAGCAATTAGCTCACACATTAGTTCAACAACATCATTTACACTTTTTATTTACACTTTTTATCCAATTTACATGCAAAAAGAATCATTACGCACCCTCAGTCTACCGAAATCTTAAGATACTTTTATGCTTCTACCGGAGTTTAAATTATGACCGACACTTCTCTCTCTCTCTTTAGATTTTTATATAAATCTTTTCTTAATATTTTTGTATTGCTTATCCCTTTTCCAATCTCCAGACCTTCTGTTTTTTTTCCAATTTCCTATCATATTTTATATCCTTTTTTTTCTGTTGTAGCAACTAGAAATTGGATTTTTTATAGAGATATGCAATTTATTTTTAATCTATGAGATTTTATTTGTCTCTTCCATATTTGTTCGTGTGGGTAAACAAAAATGTTGAGTGTGATCCCTTGAAAAAATACCATCGCAATTAAATGTATTGTAAAAAATATCCCCCAAATGAGATTCAGCTAGGCGCTCAAATGAAACGGAAATAAAACTTGTTTATCGCGATCTCCAACAGCTAACTGACAGAGCAAAACAATGCAATTGTATTCAGTATCCTCGGCGAAAGTTTCGCTTTAGTTGAAAACAAAAGCTGGGAATTATGTGCGACAAATGATTTCTGATAATTTACGATTGGTTCAATTTACACATCGAAAATGGATTTACTAAAATTTCGAACACGGTTTCCGATCCGTTTTTTCAACGTGTGAAAACTAATCTCATTAAGCTCGCTTCTGGCATCTTGAGAAGAAATACAAAATAAACAAAACTCTGGCTTACGTTTTTATTTATGAAAACTTCCGAACAAGTTTTGCTATGCTGCTCGAAAGCTTCATTTAGTGATTCTCCTGATTTAATTACGTAATTACCAAGTTCATCATTTTGTTAAGTGTCTTTTCAGAGCAATTACCTACAGTTTAATTTCGTACCGAGAGAATGAAATTTAAGTTTTTTTCTCGAATTGAATAAAACAAAACAAATATGGTCGTGTATTAGACTGAAGCCAAATTAATTACTTTAGATGTCGGAAGCAATTTTTTGAATCCGATCGATTCTATCAGGTTTTTCTGCTCCCTCTAAGCAAGTGATGTTAAAGCAAAGACTACTCCATCTCCTCGGGGACGGAATAAGTGGAGATAACGTCAAGTAACGCAATAATAATCGCCGATTTGCTTTAACATTTCTTTTAAGCGAATGGTTAGTTACGATAAATAGCAGTTATGTAGGTTAAACAGTGAGTGAGAGTATTGTCTTTGGTTACAGGTCAATGGGACTGACGTAAGCAGCTTCCCACACGAAGATGCAGTTAGAGCATTTCTCACCGCACAAGAGCCTATTGTTGTTGAAGTTAAGAGAAGAATATCAGAGTCGCCACAAGAAAAACCTCCCACTTCTAAACTGATCTCAACAGGTTGCCAAACAGAACTTTCGGGATTGACATGGCTGGAAGATAACTCTTTGGATTGTTTGACACATGATATAGACTTGGAGGTGGGTGCGTTTTTGATCGTCACAACGAGTGAGGGCCGGTAGTTAGTGTTGGAACACATAATTATTTGAGTGTGTTGTAACGTAGGACGTAAACTTTATGTTGGATTTTATTACATTTAAAAGGTCATTCGTCTTAAGCTGTAACTAATTTCGTTTCTGTTTGTAAATAAAATGTCCATCTTCATCATAGTTGTTAACTTAATTGTGCTTATCTGAAACAAGTACTACGAAAATTGTTTCTAATAATTAGCTTTAATTATCAACGAACATGTCCCATGTCGTGTACATGTGCTAGGTGCGAAATATTCTAAATGCTTGATGATTTAATATTAACAAGAGTCAATTCCTGGTACTTTTTACGATTCTGTGATAATGCAGTAATAACAATACAGTTATTATTGCAGCGTAAATCGGAAATGGAGGAAGTGTGGGTGATTGAAACAACATTACAATTACTACAGTTTGATTAAACTGACATATTGAGTGACAAGAGATGAGTTTTGTTGTGATTATGACGTGAATAAATCTCAACACGTACGCGCCTGATGCACACAATCTGAAATGTAGCATGCAGACATCATGAATATCAACAGTCTGGACGCAGCCCTCGGGCCCTATGGGAAATCAAATGGTTCTAACATTGACATCGGATTGATACTGTGGCTGCCAGCGTCTTGTCACGTGCCTAATGTGTCGGGGCCATCAACTATTCAAAAGATGCCTACAAAATGCATCTCGATCATTTCTTTCACACCATTCCACAAATTCTATCAACTAACGCACGGAAACTAAATTACATCCCAGGCATCCCAAGAATCACAAGTATCTGTTTCAAAGAAACAAATTACAGGTGTGGAAATTGGAAATGATTCCACCCCAAGTTCTGATCGGATAAAAATGTMATCGAACTCACGAAAGCTTTTCCAGTCCCCATCACTGCAAACAAGGTGCCAACTTATTAACATTAACTGCACCTATAAATAAAAACGTTATGCGACATTTGGGAACTAAATTATGGTCACTGACGTGTGATTTGACTGCTCGTTGGAGGTGAAAAAAGATCCATTCATTCGACCCCTCATCTTAAGAAGGGATTTAATTTTGATCTTTCAACGGTTTTGATTATGGCCAAGGTTTTGGAGCCGCCTCTGAYGAATTATAGGAGGTGGAATGGAATAGCGGCCTGTTATATACCGCGAGTTAAGGTCAATTGAAAATACTGTAATTACGAATCGATTGAGTAATCAAATAAAGTTTCGTCGGTTTGATAAAAATTTTAATCCGGTCCTCATGTCGCATAATGAACCTAAGACGGGTGCTGTAAATCAAGAATAGCCATGTAATACGATAAATAAATCAGCATCAGCAACGCATTCAAGGCTCCCCAACTCAATCACTTTTATGGAAATTTTGCATTTCCAGACCGTCTTTTTTATTAAACGGGAATTGAACATAAGAAGTCCTCATTTAATTCGTCAAAAAACCTAGTCCCACGCATGAATGAAGGCGAGTTTTTTACAGTTTCTTGGTTTCTTCCTTCAATCTGGCTTACTTAAGGGAAAAGTGTCTTAAGGAAACAATCTCGAGAATTATCCCCTTTAAAGTTTTTTATAAATAAGCGCTTAAAGACTTTGCGTCGCTGACCCGAACGTAATTTCAATCATCTCATTGAGACGCTTTCTTTTCTAGTTCAATTTTTTGATATAATTTACATGTCTTATTTTCTTATTACAGGAAGTGACACTACGAAAATGTAGTAGCGACGAGAAGTTAGGTTTAACAGTTTGCTACAGCTCCGGTTCTGAAGCTGACACTTGCACGGAAGTGTATATTAGAGATATAGCGCCCCAAAGTGTTGCCGACAGGGATGGCAGATTACGACAAGGCGATCAAATTTTACAAGTCAATGGAAAAGACGTCGCTAATAAAGAAGAAACTGAATCCCTCTTCGCTGAAAATAGAAAAGCTGTCACATTATTGGTTAGCAGATGTTATAACAGGGTAAGTCCCGACTTCTCGTTTCATTTTCAAACTACTCCTTGAGCCATTTAGGAAAATTTGCAGACCCCATTATCGAACTCTCCCTATTTCCTTACCCCTGTAAATAGATGGCAGCATTAATATTCGAACAAACTTTATTTTCCAGAGCGAAGAATATCTAGATGCGGAACCAATCGACGCAATTTCACCAGGGGGCCGTAGTGCCGCTTACCAGAACAGTCTTATAGAACAATTAGTACAACAGCAAACAGAATCTCAGCATTCCCCTAGAAATGACACAGCTCCCAAAGTTCCTCCTCATTTTATACAAGACCGACTTAATCTCACCAATAGTTTAGTACGTTCGAAAATGGATTCAATAAATCATGAAATTTCCGAATTAGATCATCGCATGCAAAATATCCAATTAGTAAAAATCGACAAAAGAAAACCGCCACAGTTACCACACATCCCAGCACCTCAAGAATCCGACACTGAACACATATATGAAACAATCCCAGAGTCAGTAGATTCTGAAATGGAACCGATTTATTCTTGCCCGTACGAAGCCGACGACCAAAGTATGGTAGAACAATGGCTCAAATTGCAAGACCAAGGATGGAACCCGCAAAATAAAGATGCGACACCGAAAGATAACAAGAAACAAAGATGCAAGTCATCGAAAAGCAACAGCAGTGGTGAGGAACATGAAAATAGCTCCAGTGCTTATAACACGGGAGGATCTTGTAACAGTAATCCTTTAACTTTCGAGCTAGCCTGTAGTCAGGATTCGAAACAAAAGGATACATATAGGTATGGCCGAACATATTTGAAACTGAACTAAAAGTGGATTTTTACAGATCTACATTAATCCTGTGCCCCCCTGTGGAGAAGGAAGACACTACTAAGGAAAAAGACCAGACGGAAACGTGCGATGCTTGCAAACAACAAGCAACTTCCAAAAAGAAATCTAAGTCAACGTCAAAAACGAATAGTCCGTCTTCTCCCACGACTAGAATAGGAGTTGGAGCAACTCCAGCACATCTGCTCTCTGACACCATGTATACAAACGTAGCTAATTTGCAACAAACTATGCTTCTGCAGCAGCAACTGTTTAGACAAGCTTTAGTTCAAAATAATATTGACATAGTGTCGAAACCTACGACAAGCTTCACGTCGCCTAGCTTAAGTCAGTACCAGTTTGTCAGTAGCTCACAGGTATGTATATGCATTTCAAATCAGAGATTATTAGTTTCCAATTCCCTATTATTTTTAGACTTACACTACCCAACCCGAAACAGCCACTTTAGAAACTATGATGGAATGGAAAGTCAAGCGCAGACCTGACGGTACTAGGTACATTGCAAGGCGACCAGTTCGAAATAGGATACTTAAAAATAGAGCGATCAAAATATCGGAAGAAAGGGCAGGATTAACGACGGAAGACGACACTGTGTCGGAACTTAAAGTAAGCTTTTGCAGCTGTACGTTCTTTTGTTGATGACGTTTTATTACAGATTGGGCGGTACTGGACGAAAGAGGAACGTAAAAAACATTTAGAAAAGTCGAAGGAGAGGAAACAGAGGCAAGAGATATTGTTAGCGTCGAGGAACATCGAGGAAAACGGCGAATTAGTTATACATAAACCCATCGAAAAAGTTCATTCGTTTTCTTCGAAGAAAGCGGCAAACAATTTAGATAATACTGTGAAAAAACATAAAAGTAAAAGGGTCCATAAAGAAGGATATGATAATTTTCCAACAGTGCAAGAAATGATTGTGCACGGACCCAAAGTTCCCACTAGTGGCAAGATGATGGGTCTACTTTCTGTGACAACGGTTTAATTTAACTCGTTAATAAAGCTTGCTTTTATATCCACTTATTGCTTTACTTAGGCAAATTTACGCTAATTCCAATTTTTCAAATATTTACCAAATAATGAGTGAATCAATTCGATGATTTTATGTGAGAAATTTGTTGCCTATAGTATCCCATTGTGATGTTTCTAATTTAGTGTACATATCAAATAAATTACAACAAATATATTTCATAACTATTACCTATTTAGATGTTTAGAATGTTTAAATACGTGTGTGTAAATAAATATTATTATAACCAACGTTAAATGCTGTCTCTTTTATCCTCAATCCTATCCACACACAAAGTAACAGGAGCGTATGAATTATGAATAAAAACTTAACAATAGTAGCAATAATCACAATACTAATGAACAACTCTAGGCAAAAGAATTAACTCCGCCCTCTGCTCTCCTAATACCCGGAACTGTTAATATATCGATTCTAAAATCGAATCATAAGAGCTATCCCGAATCGCGATTGTACTACACTTTAGAACTTCGACTACACCCACACCTTTTTCAAGTGTCTTAAATAAAGAAATTTCTAGCAGAGTTACTAGTGAATCTTCCCCTGGCTGGTAGGTGGCAGCTCCATTGAGTTTCCAGAGAAATTTATTTCATTCCAATCCGCTGAAGCAGCTCGGTAAAAAACGAATGAACGATTTGATAAATGATCTATCATTAGGAGTAATTTGCTAGGTCTTAATAATGTCTACTATAACTAACACTTTTTGCTAGGGAGATAATAATCTTTTAATAATTTATTAATGAATGTAAGAATGTTACAATATCGAATGTAAATAGTTTGGCTAGAAGGAAGAGTATAGCCGAGAACTCCGAAAATTAAATCGATATAATTATAACCAAGCGACCGTTTGTCCCAATTTCTTGTAATCTCCGGCAATCGGGAGCAATTTCGATCCATATACGAAAATTAACAGCTGCAAAGACTATAAATGAAAGACAGGTTGTTTGTGTTTTCTCGGTTTCCATTATACGAAACAAAACAGCAAATAACTAAATATTTTCGACAATACATTTCATTTGATGTAAAGACAGTATGTCTTTGACCAATTCATTTGGAAAGTTATAAAAGTCCATTAAAGCGTCTAAGAGAAAAGAGTTGTTTGTGCTCAGACATCTGTAATAGCAGCACATAAGACAGCTTTTGTGCGATTAGTGTGTGAACAATAGTTCCATTCCGACACCGTGGTAGATATCGTATTGCAGATCTCTGTCATTCGGATCACAAATACTACATGAAGAGGCTTTCTTGTTCATTTAGTGAAGCCACACACGGAGTTTTGTTAAAAGTGTATCTATTTGTGGATTAATTAGAGCTTATCTGATGTTTTTTGTCTACGAAAAACACACGCGTTCTGGTATGAATACTTTCAATGAAGTTTATAAGCTCAGCGAAGAGTGAAAGCAATTAATTGTAAACTATTTGATCCCTGCTGCTTCAGAAGAAGTTAACAACTTTGGAAAGTACAAGCTTCATCATCAAAATATCTTGTAGGGTATATTACATAACTGGTTTCCAAGAGAAACCCCTTTTTAGGCTTATTAATGGGTCGTTAATACAGCAAATTCTCCAAGCCGAATACATGAACTATAAAAGTTTGTGAAATGATCCAAAAGTTATTCAAATGTTAAATAGGTTGTTATGAAAGTTGATGGTAATGTCATTGTGTAATAGACTTGGCTAACATTATATTGATATATGACGTCATAGAAATTTTCAAATGATAGGCGAAGCCTCTATACCGCACAAATCAATATATAAATATATATACCTACAATGAGAAATATTTCAAAGATGGCCAAGACAATTTATTGCACTGACAACCGGAAATATTGAACCATTTTATTTTGTTTAAATTTAATCTTACTCAATTCAACAACCAAGTATCCCTGCACCACCCTTTTATGTTTTCTCATATTATGTAAATATGTTTTATGCAAAAGGTATGAACTAATCGAAATTTCGACAACACGAGTATGTAGGAATTACTCATAAATATTTAGCTTTTCACGTCATATTGTTGAATATCACGCAATGGAAATCAAAACTAATTCTGACAGAAATAAAACAAATCCTCACAAATCTGACTCAACTAAAATATTCCCCATTTTCCGCACCATAATTAAAGGTTGATGATTTTAGATTATTTCTGTGTTTGTCCTTGGTTAATTAATAAGATATTGTTAAGTGATTTTTTTTATCAACAGGAGAGTGTAATTAGAGGTTTTTTGGAAAACATTTTGAGGGGCTCTCGAAGCTAATGCCGCGTGTTGAAAGCCTAGTCAAGTGTAAAATCGATATACACGTACATGTCATATATCGCATGCCATACCGATAAAATATTGCATATATACGTCAAATCTAACAGTTTCTCAAAAATCAACCTATTGTAAAAATTGGAAATACACAAGACTGCGTCCCACCAAATCTATTTCACGCAAACCTTTTCATTTAAAATTGTTGGCCTCAATGTAAATTCTGATATAAACCCCCGATACATAGTCAAACAACAAAGTAAACGTTTTTATTAACGCACGAACTCATAAAAGTTTAACTGATTATGATGTCAGTTATGTAGTTTATGCGGATTTACTATAATCGGCACATTGTAAAAATGCCACATTTTTATTGTTAAAACGCATTGCAAACATTGAAACTATTGAAAGCTTGCTTAAATCTTAAATCGCATTGCAAAAAAGAAAGATTGTGCTTTTAGATCATAAAAAAAACATTAATTTTTAGAAAAAAAAAAATATATATTTTTTTGACTAATTCGTAAAAAATGAAAATATTGAGACTTGGCCAAGTGCGGTTGGTAGAATTTTGTGACGTTAATAATGTAACAAAATTGTCAATGCTGGCGTAATCTTTGTTAATCTTTTGATACGTGTTTGGTTTGTGTTATTTTGTAATCAGTGTTAGGTGGTGGTAGTGAATTAGTTAGATGTTGTGTCGCATAATTTGGAGCAGTGTTCCCGGTAGTGACTTTTGTTGGCTAGTTAAAAATTGGAGTTGTTGATAAAAGGAAGAATAAATGTTGTTTGTATAAACGCGTAATTGTAAAAGTTTTGATGGAATAATATGAAGAGACGTTCGTAAAAACAAATTGTAGTATTCGTAAATCCAGAAACAACACGAACAAATCCAACGAGCTCGAATAATCTCATGAGGACGAAGCGCGTCCGTATCCCCAAAATGCAAAGTACTGGTCAGAGTGACCAATAAAAAACTGCATAGTATAACAAAAATAGAAAAAACATTTCAAGCAATCCTTTCTCTTTTTACCCCTTGACCCAAAATATCCGTGTCCAACATACAAATTGAACGTAAAGGCGGCAAACATTGTCCAGTATTTTATTTTCAGCGCAAAGTGCTGGGCCTCAGGGTGAAGCATATTTCCAGGGTACCTAGCCACGAACCGAATACCGAATTGCGGTAATTGATAATTTTATTTACTCTACATTAACAATAATTTAATTTCTTAATTGTTAATTCCCACTCCCTTGATATTTCCGCAACTTTTCAGTCGCATCCATGAAAAAACGTCTCAAGGGTAGGGTTCTAGCCGTGCTATGCATAGATTAGTTAAGCTCGTCAACTTTTAGAAATTAACGTAAACTTGCTGTGCATTTGGAATACTTGTTGCGGAACTGCTAACTTCCTTTCCTACGTTACTTAACTTTACAACTTTAAAATATAAAATACAGAGAACATGTTTAAATGAAAACACGTCCAAACTAAGCCATTGTATGTACTCGCGCAATATTAATTTTTGACACCAACACAATGTACCACAACCAAAAATAAACCGCTACAACACAGTTTGCCGAAAGTAAGCTCAAAATTCGGGATTCAAGGTGATACTTTTTGTTCGTATACACTACACTAAATATGTTTCAAACATGTCGTAAGATGGCGCTATGTAAAGCGCTTCCCTTCTTTGAGTTGAGCCCGAGGCATCTCCGCTTGGAGCGTTTAAGGTAGTAAATATTTGGAAACAAAGTAACTTTAACGTGTGTGATCTCAACCATGAAATCTAAGAACCGTCCCTTATTATTCAACTTTAACGATAGCCGAGGGTAGATTTATGTATTTATCTTGCGCATACCACTTCAAATTCCGTTACGCCAAAATTGTTGACAACATTTAATTACAATAAGAATCTTTGCAAAGTATTCACACTGAGGTATTGTTTTGTTATTATACCCCTGTTTCGCAACTTCCTTTCCCGATTCCAATTTTGACAGAAAAAAACATGTTTTTTTATTTTGTTTTTTATTTTTTAATTACATGTAGGTAATCTTTAATTTGTAGTTACAAAAAAAAGAATATTTTTTATATTTACATTTTATATTTACTTTTATTATACTACGTGTTTCGGTTTTACTGTCAGCCCTTAAACATTTGATAAAAAATAATGATACAGCAAATATTAAAGGCAGACCTGACTATTATATGTAATTATGTTTATGATACTATTTTATTTTCTACTATAATTTTAGGAAATTGAGTTTTAGCATTAAAGTGAAGATTAAAGTAATACTCGTGTGTTAAAAAAATATTTAATTTATTATTTATTGTTGATTTCAAAAGCGAAAAAACTACCAATGTAAAAATATTATTTTACCGATAATACTATTGCTTTTCTATAATAACAGAATTCTCTAACTAAAGTACTTTATTATAAATTTCGAAAATTATAAACTACTTTTTCAAGCTCAAATTTAATCGATACTTCTCCCACAACTTATTAAAATTAATTACACCTACTCACAAGATAATCAGGAAAGGATCCTCTCTTTACGAGTACCGTGTGATGTTATAACCTGACCCTACTTCACTTTTAAAATCAATAGTTTTAATGGAGTCTCTGATTTTAGAGTATTTGAATAATTATGATTAAGTCTGGTATAGTAGAGTGCAGTAAAGATCGAGTGAAAGAGTAATGTTTGAGACAAAGTGGATATTTTGTTCCGTTTATTCTAGAAGATACAT